TAAGAGGTCGATTTTCTGCTCTTAATAGAGTAGTAATAAAAAAAATCATACTTCTTTTGTTTTTTTCTTTTAAAGAAACGATAACGGGAAATGTAGTTTCTATTGTTGAGGAATTTGCTCAAACAGCTGGTACTTTCGCTTTTATTCTCAAACGCTGAATAAATACGGTCAAAAACACTCGATAGTTCTTAACAATGTATCTCACGCGTTACATGGAAGGCGGACACACACACACACACGTAGCATGAAATGTTCAATTAGACGTCATTAAGCCAAGAAATGACTCAACATTATTCCGTCAGATGCCACGCCAGGCCTGAGCAGCTGTGGTAGCTAATAGGCGACTTCCGGTTCCGCCCTCGTGACTACAAATGGCGACAATCTCTCGTACAAACCTTGCAACTCAGGCGAAGCGTCTGGCTTCCAGCTCTGAAAATCTTTATGCTCACGCGAAAGAAAGATGTGGGGGTGTGAGGGTGTCGTTTATAGTATTAGAAACCAAATGCAAAGGCTCATTTTTGGAGCAGAGTAGCGGCCATTTTTCTACTGCGTCGGTCATATTACGTACAATGACACATTACGATTTTAAACTTCAATTCGTGGCCTATTCAACGCCTCAGATCGCGTAGCGTCGAATAATAGAACGGTTATAACAATAACAGACTGTGGAAGGAAGCGGCCGTGGCCGAATTTAAAATGCTATCACGACATCTGCCTGGAGGTCGGACCGATATTTGAACCCAGGACCTCTCGAATTCGCAACAGAAGTAAATAATGCATGTTCATAGAGGCAGTGGTCGTGTTCTATATTCTGCTGAAGAAACTTGAGGTCCTAGACCTGGATTTGAACAGAATACCTCCTGCATAGGAGTCAGACTCGTCACGCCTATGCTACTTCACTCGACAGCACTGACCTGAAGGTACTGAGAAAACCACGGAAATCTCAGTAATATGACCCACGGCTGATGACCAAGATTCAGAATTGGGGGCTGCCTGAATATGAAGCAGAATTACTAACCAACACACCATGAAGTTGGAATGAAAGGCATAAAATATTAAAAATGTGATGGAAATGGCTTTGCCGAACCAGTTCAAAGCTCCGGATCAGCATAAGAACGTGGGAAATGACCAACACATATTGTAATGATAACTATTACCTCAGAAATTTGTTCCACGTGCACAAATGTCAGGAATGATAGCCGCAACGTCTTCAGGCAATAAAAATAGCTTCATTAAAACACCGGCTTTAAAACTACGAAAGCGTCATCTCCCACGTCTACTTCAATTTCCATCCTTTGATGTAATAGACGGTCGACGGTAACGCCTACAATTACATCTAAACTGTACGTAACCGTGATAGCACATTTTCATTAATTATCACCTGTTAAATGTGGGCGTTGAATGGGAACGTACAAACCATCTTCCGACAATTACAGCAGAAAGCAATCCGCTATAAATTATACATTTGTTGTGAAACAAATAAACTGGAAACCTCCATAGCTCTCGACATTATTCTGGTACTTGGCTGCCACTTATGAAGCCTACAGTACCTTATACAAAGTGGGGCTGGTTCCGAGATTCCAACGACCTACTATTCTGTCTCTTCCAGGCACAAAGACCTGGATTCACCAATCGAAAACATCCCTAAATATATAAAAACTTCTCATATATAAGACTTCCAAGCTTAATTGAATTTCACGACATCTTATAGCAACTTGTTTTGGAGAAACATACAGCCTGAAGGTAGACATAACCTCAAATAATTGTCCAAACTTCCTCAACTGTTAACATTTATTAACACATGCCATGACGATGTTATGAAACAAAATCAGCAAAAAAAAAGTCATAATACATCTGCAAAAACTTCCCACATTACGAATGGGATTCATTCCGACAGTTCAGTCACAGGTGTTTTACCAAGACGTTGATTTTCGACGGATTAATAATCAGGTTCCCGAGGCACCGAACAGTCGCCTACATAACCTATAATTATGCTGAAATACGGCAGAGCGTACTCAATTTCAACACCAAAACTGACATTCCTCTACAGACAACACCACAAAAACACGGCAAAATCTAAAAAAACCGTAAACTTCTACTCACCGTGTATGGTGAGTTCCGAATCCCTGTTGACCTCATACAGACGAATGGCCTCGTCCAGTTCCATCTGAGTCGAGATTGTACATGGATCACCTGAAAACAAAGTCTGACATAAATTGTGAGATTCAATGTTTCCACGGTGATGAGGAAGATAATGTTGTTCAGGGCTTCAGCCCTGAAGATGGGGACAGCATGTTCCTCCAAAACGATATCTACAGACAAGTCTACGTGGCGCCACGACCCGGAAGAACATCGCTGACATTAATTGTTGCCATGGATAAAATGTCTCTGCTGGTATAAATCAATCACTAATTGTAATTAACGAAAGGTAAAGCCGCAAAGAGACAAAATGATATCGCAAATGACTGGACATCTGTATCACTCTCATTTCAGACTTATAAAATTTTGCGCACTTCGTTCTTGTTGCACAGTGTGCGTTGAGACATTTTTGAGAAATTTAACAAATTCCAATTTAAATTTCACGAACAGTTATATTGACTCGAAATAGTTAAAAATAAAATCCACTCAAACCTCCGATACCAATAATGTATCAGATGTATCTTTGCAGCATCACGTCATGAAGGTGTACTGGACCCATCGAGGTAAAGCGTCGTGCATTAATAATTTCAGCGATATTTGGAGACGAGTGGTCAACTTCATGCTGTGGCTGCTTTATCACCGCAGACACAGCCCATCGTATCATTCGATCCTAGAACCAGGCTTTAAGTACTGACGAAGATAAATATCTTATCTCCGCAGGGAATCAAAAACCTGTCATAAATCCAGTCCATGCCCAGTCACTTTACTGACTGAGCTAACCTGCCTCATGCTCGTAAATAGGCCACGATGAAAATAAAGAAACCTTCCAAACTCTTCAATACTGATGCATATTTTGAGTCAGCATTTCGTCCGTATGATCTCGCTAAGTACGAACCCATTTACATGTTACATCTTGGATATACGAACCTTGACACGCATTCATCAATCTTATAATGTGACAGTTTCGCAGAGAAAAATAAATTTGGCAGGCAGACACGTTAATATGGAAAATACCATAATGCACTCACCTTCCTCATCTACCCATTTCATGGTGAAAACTTGATCTGGAGGAAAACAGCAAATATCCCTCATTTCTTGACACAACTGCTCCACAGTGACATGTGGATCGACGTATGTAATCATCACTTTCCTGCAAAAAAATTCAAGAAATACTTCGATGTCAAATCCCATTTATGAATGCTATTTTAATTTAAATCACTCCATGTGTCTACACAGAATAAACATTATAAAATAAAATTATAATAATCAGTTATCCATCTTCTGGAAAATCTTTCAGTAAAACAGGTTTTCAATACCCGAGACAACATAGAAGTTTATCTGACGACCACCTTCATAATTCTGAACATAATTCTTAGCAAGAGATTTTCTGACATACTGAATGTCTAGCACATATCAAATTGGGACAATTAATATATAATTTTAGGTTTTCACAGTAATGGTTAGAACAGACTGTGATCTTCTGTTAGTCATGCTGATGGTAGGAACTTAACAAGATTGCAAAGGGTAAACTCAAATGTAATATCCACATTTTACAAATGTATTTTTCACTATTTGCGTACCTCATTTTTACAGTAACTATTGATATTTCTCTAAACGTTTGTGACAGCAGATGATCCATTATATAGAAATGGATCAACAACTTGGTAAGTGGGTCCATTGCTTGAGAAATATCTGATACACATTTAAAACCAAGTACACTGTATCAGATTTTATATTATTTTAGGTTTATCAGGTACACAATGTATTTTTCAAACAGTGGCAAGTATTTTTTTGGTTATGTAACGATCCTTCAGTAACTCACATTATTGCATCAAATGATATGGAAGGAAATGGTCATGGCCTAATTTGAAGTAGGCCTATCACACAGGCATTTGCCTGGACAGACTGACAAAAACCCTCAGTCAGGATGCCTGGTCGATGGGCTGACATTTGACCCAGGACTTACTGTATACAAAACAGAAGTGCTAACCACATGACCATTACACTGCTAGTACACAACCCTTCAGCTTTGAAACTCTGTACCGAAGTTAATACTGTCAGCTAATTTCCATGTATCAGTCAAACATTTATCACTGGCAAGTTCCTGAACCTCTCCTATTACTACACAATTCTGTTCCAAAAATGGTGCTGACTTACAAACTTCGTTTGGTTTTACTTAATTAAAAAATCTCATAAGCAAAGGTATGCTGAATACAATAATGTAAAATCATCCTTTAACAGCAGCATTCTGACTTTTGAGGTAATACACAAATCATACTACGGTTACTTCATAACCTATCATGTTCCACATAACTTTGATTTCATGATACAAATATAAAGCAAAGTAATAGTTTCCTCTTGGTTCGTAATTGCAGTTACTCTTATTAGGAATGAATATCATAAGACATACATACTCATTATAGGCAGTTTTCACTCTGATTTCTGGAACCTCTGCATCTGCAGAAAGCTGTGTTGGCATCTTGGTTAGGTTGTGTATGAATTCCTTGCTTTTCTTGATTCTGCGTCTATAGAACCTAATCACTACTATATAAAGCTTCCAAAAACAATCCAACGTGGCTTGTGTGTATTACCTTTCTGGATACGAAATATCTGGTAATCTGCAATTATTAAAGAATAATTTAATACTTTTCCTACAACATATACTATCAGCTGTTATTTCATACTGCACTCAACACACACACTGACGATATTTAAAACAATTTCTACGTGAAAACCAAAGTTCTGACTCACTATGCACACCTGCGTTGTTCAGAACTCTGTATACTATTGTGCATGCAGTTATGTTTGGATATATGACAGTCTACATAAATACGTCAAACGAATTTCAAACCCAAGTCTTTTAAATATAATACTTCAACACATGATTGTATAACGCAAGAGTGTGCAATTTTACAAACTATGTTTCTCAAATACATTATTTTCAAGTTTGAAACTTATAATGCCAAGGGTTTCAACATTTACCTTCCCACACTTTCAACTCCACCACCTTGCACAAGTTGCAGTGTGACAAATCGCGTTCTGCGCATTTCCAACGACGGCAGCACTGGTTCTTAGAAGTAGCGGGGATTGTAATTTCTGAGCACTTGGTCATCATAACAGAAATTCATTACCTTATCCTAAGACTGTTTATATTTTCTGTATAAATCTATTATGCTTGTACTATGAAGGATTTATGGAATTCAAATAAACTCTAATTCTAATTCTGTACAATGACTTTTTTTGTAAATGTAATCTGATTTTAGATTCATGGAAATGAGATACACTGGACCAAAATGATAAAAATAAACATGTCGAACTATTATTAGTACAGACCCACACCCAATCTAATCAAAATCTCTTCAGTAGTTTCAGAAATGGCCAGGTGGAGAGACAAAGTCTTTTCAAACACACAATTATCAAGAATACGTTGTACTTTTATTATACTATTTCTAAATTCAACCATCACTTTTACACAGTTTTAAAGCTATATTTGTTTCTTAAACTTCCTGGACCTATTGCCCAAGTAGTGTAATGGGGAATAATTAAACTTTTAGTTTCTTGAATAATAAAACTGCGGGAATAACAAATTTAGATGCATATTCCACTTCTTATTAGTTTTGTTCAAGATTAAGGTGCATTCTTGTGGCAGAAATTGATACTACAAAGTTCTTGTTACCTTTTACCAATATGTACAAGTTTTTTAGGTTTGTGTAGTACCATAATCAAATGGTCAACACACTGAATAATTTCTATATATAAATTTGAAGTCTTCACTGCAACTAAAATCAATTAAGAATTCTTGGTTGAACAACTGCAATGACAGAATAAAAATGTTAAGTTTATGAGAATATCTGTTTCAATTACCTGGGATTAAAATCTACAAAATCTCAAGACTTTTACTCTGAATCAAAACACCTGATCACTCAAGATTTCATTGTAATTTCACTTCTACCATCTGAAACAATATGAATTATCAAATTTAAAGTGTTACTTACAAAATTATATGACAATGATACAGTAATTTCATTCAAAATAACTTTATTTGTTAAGGTATGCACCTTCCAACCATTGTAACAAATACGATACTCTCCTTCACTCATTTTCAGAAGTACACCGCACAACAGATGTACATAATTAATAATAGGAAATGCAACATAAATTTAGGCAACAGAATTATTTATTGTATGTATTAACAAAATACTGTTATTCATCATTGTTAACTGTGTCGCTAACAGCAAGCACATGCAGGCATTGTAATAATGAAACATAAGCCTGATCTTGCCAGTTTCACTGTTATTATAATTAACATCACATCCGTTCACAAGTTTTCATGGATTATTATGCTGTAAATACAAAAGTCTGCATAATCAGAAAATGTACAAGTTTTTAACTATCTTACAAAGACACTCTTCTTTTCTTATTTCTTCGCAGTAAGTCATGGTCAATGAATACCTTATTTGCAGAACAGAAATTCATACCATTTCAACTAAACCTATCAGACACATCTTGTTTGAAGTGAAATAAGTCACATCCTTTATCTGGGTTGAAACACATCACAAAACTATTCAGCTGACCTCAAATTATAGGTCCTATATCAGACAAAAATACAACTGAAGTCAAATTACCTCTGCTAAAGTAACTGAAACCTAGATTTGTCATGTGTAAAGGTACAGAATATAGACTTTAAACATAACAAGAAAAATACATTAATTCTGCTGTACATAGAGGCTCCAATTCATACTTGAAAAAATGCTAAATACAAAAACTTGAACCAAGGAAGTTGGAAATGATGGGTCATACAGCACACATGGGACAGATTAGAAGTGGATTAAAAACTGTAGTTGATGAGACAAAATAGGAGACCTAGACACAGGCAGGAAGGTAACGTTATAAGGAAAAAAAAAAACAGTCACAATATGTCATCAAGCGTGAACATAGCAATCAACCTCCTTAAAGTTCCATAAAAGGCAGGGAATTTCTAGGCTAACTGAGCAACTACTAGCTTCACAATTACTGTTCTCCATGGACTTAAACTTCAAAGAGGACTGATAAGTAATTCCAGAAAGAGTTTATAAGTGAAGTGCTAATAAACTTTTCTAATTATGGATTTCAACATGAAAGCTAACCTAAAAATTACTTTTATATTTAACCCTCTGCTGCATCTATATAGCACAATTTAGGAAAATTAAACGTCTTCCGCAATGATTAAAATACTAAATTAATTGGCCTAATTATGTTAGAATGCAGTGAATTTAAATAGCGTGGCAGTGGGTTACAACTGCAAGTGTCCAAATTGACTGTCCGAAGTCTTTAATCCAAGTCGTGTATCAAGAGCACGCCCGCACGAATTTTGAACACTTTTTAATGCTGATGGTTATTTTTAGAAAAAATATTGTATGAGCCTTGTAAGACAGATGTGCTTACTTTATCCAGTATTTAAGTGATGTCATTTCATATGCTCCTCCATAAGAGAAAACATTTTTTTGTATCAGTGACTTCAACACAATACACCAGTGAAAAATTACATGTGACTGATATATTTCTGATTATAAACTAACGCGACCTC